CTACTTCCTGATCAACAGGATCAGCAGCTGATGCTGTGAAGTAGTAAACTCATTTTTCACTTGCATTAATTGCATTTGAGTGATTAACAAAGTTCAGCTAGATTTACCTAAATATGAATATTATAATTCATTACTTGAAGAAAAAAGTGGCACAGCATTATCTGAATGTGTCTGTGCCCACGTGCCCTCTCTCTCTCTCTTTGTTAGGACAAGAACAGAAAGTACCGTATAGATGTGACAGTGAAAACTGTCTTCATTTGAGAACAGAACTGCATCCCTGATAAAGATGAGTACGGCTCGGAAGATGAAGGAGAGGAAGAGCTGGACATGGATAAAGTTGCGTGTGCAGTGGAGCCTCCTGAGGATTGTAGGACACAGACATGGATCAAATGTTATAATCGTTCATATTATTAATGATGTAAATGTGTATATACATGCATATATTTGGTGGTGATAATATATACATGTTAAATTATAAATTATGTATTGAGAATAGATTATTTAACCCTCTGAGGTCATCATCACTGGTAAACCTGGTAAAAAAAAGTTACATTTTTGTTTGTAACCTTTTGGGCTCTACTTCTACTACAATGAAAAGAAAAAAAAACAGTAATTATTGACAATTATTAACTGACGCTTATCGAGTATTTACATTTTTCCACAAACGTTCTTTGCTTTTCTGCAACAGATATCAAAAGATACGGTCAAGTTTAGGGTTTGGAGCTCAGCTCAACTGAAGTCATCATGATTTAAGATTAAACGCGCTAATTTCTTCTTGTTAGTGAAGTCATCAGTTCATAGATCAACTATATTGTAATAAAAATATATTGTGAGGAATTCCCTATGTTGCATTCATTTCTCCCACAACAAAATTTCTTTATTTCTTCATCATATTTGTGGCATTTCAGATAAAGTGGTGATTCAGATGCAGCACTGTGTTATTTTGCAACGCTGCAACTGTTTGACTCACAGTAATGACGATTTGTAGTTGGACCTTTAATTACATGTTTTATTATTAAAAGAAAATTATTGTTAAGAAAATAATTATATTTAGTTTTACTAAAAGGGCAAAAATCTGTCATCAACACTTGGGCCATATATGCTTATAGTACATAACCTTTTGTAAAGTATAGATAACTTAAGGATTATAAATCTACCCTCTGGATCTATAACTGTGATCTGTAATGATTGTGCTAACCTAAAAGGTTTGTTGAAGCCTGCAGACTCGAATACTGTTACTACTCAGCCAACTCTTCCCTTTTTCTACAAACGCTTCACAAATCTACCTTTGCCTGAAGCATTTACCAGTGAGTTGCATAAAAGGTGAGATGCATTCATCAGAGTAGAAATGTGTGTGAATGTTGGATAGAAAGCACTTAAGCATAGGAAGAGTGCATGTGTGAATGGGTAAATGAGGCATGTTGTATAAAGCACTTTGCTCTGGGAGAGTAGAAAAGCACTACATAAGAATCAGTTCATATACCAGACATGCTAAAATTGTTTTCATGGTTCAGCTCTTATAATTTAAAGCTTTAACCTCCTAAGACCTGAACTCTTCCACTGCTCTTTGATATTTGGGCTGATTGGGACCCGATCAATGTAAAAACAAAGAAACACCAGATTTTTTTTTTTTTTACCCGATTTTTGTTCCTAAGAAAAATGAGAGCCACTTATGAGGACAATTGTTTTAAAATTTGATGGAACAGTGGTAGTATAATGTCCTCGTAAGTAGATATAAGGCCCTTGCAGAGGAAAATTGAGTATTTTGGTCTAGACAACCCAAAATGTGATGCCCACATATGTGGACGCCAGGTCCTAGGAGGTTGAAGTGGGCACAGGTGGTGTTGATAATTAGAAAAAAAAAGAATCAGCCACAAATACAGGTTCTCTTTTTTTTTCTATAGACTTTTAGATTTTTTGGCTGGACAAATGGGATGAAAGCAGAGATGCTGTGTTCATAGTTTAAATGATGAATTAAGACCAGAGTTAGCTGCTAAGGATCTCCATAAATCACTTGATGCTCTTGTTTTCAAAACTTTTTTCAAAAAAAGTGCTAACCAATCAGTATACTGACAAATAGCATAAGTCATTTTATTAGTTAAAAATACTTACACT